TATTCAGTTTTAACCACATACGTTCGTGGTTTATCACAGGCCTCGTAATTTGCCAACAAAAGGTGGAAGTTAAGGAAATTCTGTGAACTTTGCCAGTTAAGGTTGATTTACTACCGTTAAGCAAAGTACCTCTCCAGTTGAAAACATTATCTTACTAGAACGATGCACAGGACGAGGCGGTACAACTGGTATTTGGAACAAATGAGCAGAAAACAAAACAGTGGCAAATGAGCTTTTGTAAAAAAAAGAAAGAAGACTGAAAAAATGAGCAGGGAAACCAAACCAAAGAAAATGAACTTTTTGTTAAAAAAAAAAAACCAAAACATAAGGATAGTCATGTTACCGGTTTAGAAAGAAGAGCTCTTTAAAAGTGCAATGGGGTGGATTTTTAAAGAGGAAGGAACATTCCGGCAGTCACGTCAACAACAGAGCCATTCTCTCTTTTCCTGCCGGAACACAACATTTCCATTACACACTTTCAAATGGCACACTAAGGATCTTTTAGAAATCTACTCTCTAAATATCACAATCAGTTTAGAACAGATTTTCAAACTGGGTAACTCTTCAGATATGTCCAGCTCAGCTCAGAATTTTCCAGTCAATTTGGGAGTCGAAGTCCATACGTGATGGCTGGGGAATTCTGGGAAGGAAAGTCCATTTATGCTGTCTAGGGAATTCTGGGAGTTGAACACCACACTATTCAAAGATGCCAAGTTTAAAAAAACACTGATTTAGAACAACCCGTCCACAGGTACAAAGCAATTCTGGGCGCTTAGAAGACAGGACAATGAGGGGCGGGGGGGGGGGGAGAATTCTTAAGTGTAGAATCAGAGTTGGCTGGCCTTCCAGATGAAGGTTAGGACAGGCTTCCCATTTTCCACCACCCCACCCCACATTTCCAAGGAAGAGACTCCCAGCCTGTTCTTCATTGCACCATTTAGTCCAGAGGCTCCTCTTCTAAATCCAGATTCCTGGAAACGGGTTATAGGGAGCCAAACTCTGAAACCCCCTCTAGGAAAGGGGGAAAGGCGATGCCCCTTTCCAGCAAAACTTTGCTCCACCCGGTTCTTCCTCTGTTACTAAGGGGGAAGGAAGAAGAGGAGGAGGAAGAGGAGAAGAGGAGGAGGAAGATAGGAAGAGGAAGAGAAGAAGATGCCCCCATTCGGGCTAGATTTCCCATGCCAGGAAAATACACACACACACACAGGGAGGGAGGGAGAGGGAGTTGTTTCAGAAGATCAGGTCGTTCCCAACTGCGAACCGAAGACCTGCCGCTGGTTGTTTGAAGAGGCCTCACTTCTCTTGCAAGAGCTCTGGGCCCTCACAAGCCCCGACTCGTCCCGGGAGCGCCCCAACTGCAGCTATTCTTCCTTCCTTCTGTCCCTCCTGATATGCAAACCTGCAACTCCCTGCAACTCCCTTTACCTGGGCAAAGCTTGCTCCGGCCGGGCGCCCGCAAGGAAGAGCACCGCCAAGCCAGCCCAGCGGAGCCCCCCCAAAGGGGAGCTTTCAAAGCCAAGGGAAGAGAGTGCCTCCGAGCATGGGCAGAGCGCGCTTTATTTTGACTTTGACTCCCTCACCCCCGGTGGGCAGGGCGCGTGGGTCACCCAAGACTGACGCCAGAGGGGAGGGAAGAGGCAGAGTTTTGTAGGCGCTGGACCTCTCGTCCCGTCCTCCCCGTTGCAAAGGGGGTGCAACGTGAGCCCGGCGCCCCACTTGGGGCAATGCAAGCAGGAGTTGGGTGGGAGCAGGAGATAGGCAAAGCCCCGGGGTTGCTTTCCTTCCCCCCCCGCCCGCCTCTCGCAAAGGATAGCACGCATACCTATCCACCAGGTGTCTGCCCCGAGGTATCCTGCCTCCTCCAGCCGCTCCTCTTGCAGCTTCCTCTGTGGACGGCCGAGCAGCAGTCGCCGCCCACGGGCGTTCCCGACCGGGGAGCGGACCAGGCGGCCGCCTGCCCGCCTACCTGCCAGGCGGACGGAGCCAATGCTGGGCTCCTCCCGGGCGGCTTCCTCCTCTTGGCACCCTGGCTCTCGCTAATCCTCAAGGCTGCGTTCCCACGACTCGCACAATAACGCCTCCATCTCCTGACTCGGGTCTCGACCGCCGTCCGTCCATGCAACGCGCGCTCGTGCCCCCGACCTAGGTTTGCCCATCTGCAGCTTGCCTCTCTCGGGTCCAGCGGTGGGGAAAGCAAGCCCAGAGCATCGCGGAGCACAGGCAGAGCACCGTTGGGTGGGGTTCCCTCTCTGGAGGCTCGGGGTTGCTATCCACAGCTCAGCCCCTCCGCTGGAATCGGGAAAGCGAGGCAGAGGAGTTGGGAAAGACTATCGCCAGGCGCCATCCCTGGGGCTGCCCTCAAAGGAGGATTTCTCCTCCTGTGGGTGCAAAAAGCTTGATTTCTAAAAACAGCAAGAAATGCAATACGCAACACATCGGTACGATTTCTGCCAGTAGAACAAGAAAATTCAAAAGCCCCAATGTAACGGAATAGCTTTATTCTTTTGGAGAATCCCAGAGCAGTTTGCCTGTGGCAGGTGAGTTTACAGACAACATCGCCGTCTCGTGGCAAAAGAAGGAACAGCAGCCCTTAAAATTTTTATCTTTCAACAAGAGCAGGGATATCGCAAGGGCTGTTTTGTTTAAATCTTTTTAATATGTTTTATTACTCCATTGTTAGCTGTATGGAGGATTCATTTTCATAAATTAGCATTATAGGATTCCGGTTGTTGCTTTTGGTGCCATGTTCGAAACAGTTCTTAAGGAGTGGCAGGATAGTCTAGT